ACCAGCAAAAGGGAAGCCCAAGTCGCCAGAAACATGTATATTACTCCATCATTTGGTTGAGCTATAAAGGGGCATCACAACATGCATGGGATACCTTGAAACCCTACTCTGGTAACACTCCACTACATAACCCAGATAAGTTCATTGGCTCGCCAAGCTGAGTCCTTTCTTCAATCTGTCTGCATTCTCTTTCTCTGAGATAAAAAGATGTTCTTGTGTCTCCCCAGGAAAAGACACACAATAGCTAATTATCAAGGTTTCCAGACTAACCTTGGGACAACAGACAGAAACTCAGAGATGACCCCAAATCCAGACAGTTTAGATATCACTGGCTTACTGGGGACTGACAAAGTACCAATCCTACTGTTGACCATTCCCAACATTACACTGTAAGTGTGTCAAACTAGAAATCCAGATACCAAGTTCCCAACCTCTGCAGACCCCTATCGACACCAGTGTGTAAAGATCACTGAGCAAACCTACTCCAGATGACCAGACTTAGAGATGTCCACTTTCATTACCTGAGGCTAAATGGTTTAGAGAGTAGTAGTTTTATTTTAAAAGGCATTGGAAACTCCAGGTATACAGTAACTGTTTAGTGTTGCTACTGTGCCACAGAAGCAATGCCCACTCTCCTTACAGCTCTGTCCCCCAAATGAGCTCACTGACCTTACTTATCTGAGCCCCACAATTAGAAGGATGACCTTCAATGTTCACAGGCTGGGGGGGTGATGGTTCTTGCACTCAGCCCACACTGCTGTTTGGGTGAAAAGGGAAATGTTGATGGCTAAAGTTTCCCCCAGTAAAGCAGTAAGATCTAACCTTACTGCAGCCTTGAGCAGTACTAAATAGGTGGCAATAACTCACTTCAAGGGACATCAATGAGACGGCTACTAAGTCAGGCAAGTTGATGATACAGGAGATTACAAAGCTCGGGACAATGAGATGGCTGAGTGGGTAAAGGCACTTACCACCAAGCCTGATGGCTTGAACACTTTGGTGCATAAAACAAACACTCAGTAAAAACAAACAGACAGATACATAGATAGATAAATAAATAAATAAATGAATAAATAAATACCCTGTCCGGGCACTAGCTGAGCATCCTTCCTGGGGCTACCCTCCCCACCAAAATTTTATTATTATGTACACAGCATTCTGCCTGCACGTACGCATGCAGGCCAGAAGAGGGCACCAGATCTCATTACAGATGGTTATGAGCCACCATGTGGTTGCTGGCAATTGAACTCAGGACCTCTGGAAGAGCAGCCAGTGCATTTGACCTCTGAGCCATCTCTCTAGCTCCCTGGGCTGCATCTCTTGCTGAATTCCTCCAAAACTGAAGATTGTCTAAGTCTTAGTTACATTACTAACCAAGATGTTGTAAAAAATTACTTTTGGGGACTCACTGTACCTGGGCTAGTCATTTATAATAAAACTAGGAGTGCTGGTATATGCATGCTGTATAATTAATTCCTTTGTCTTTTGATAATTTTCTAGATGATTTGTATGGGTATGGGTATGTGCACCTGAGTGGAGATGCCTGCCGGGGTCAGAGGTGTTGAGTTGTTCTGGAACTGGAATTACAACAGTCGTGAGCTACCAGATATGGATTTAACTCTGGTCAATGCCAGAGCAGTAGGTGCTCTTAGCTACTGAGCCATGGCTCCAACCCCATAAAAGTGAAATTCTTATAGTCATATTGTGTGTACGCATGATATGTGAATGCAGGTACATGTGTGCCACGGTTCTTATGTGGAGGTGAGAGGCGTTGGTTTTCTCTTTGCTCCTTAATACAGAATCAGGGGATCAATTGGGGTCGTCAGGTTTGCACGGCAGTACCTGTACCTGTTGGAGCCATCTTGCCAGCCCCTAGGAGCTAAGTCTTGCAGGAGACAATTACATCTGTTGCTTGATAGGGTGGCTTTGTTTACCATGAGGTCACATTACAAGCCTTAACTAAAGCCCTCGAAAACACAGGAGATGCACTAACTGGCTCCCCTACACCCCACTCCCACTCAATTCTGTGGCCAATATTGGAAGAAAACCAGAGAAAATTAGATTTCTTATTAACAGAACAAAGAGGGGTGTGTGTCCTCCTGGATTCTACTTGTTACACTTAGGACAATGGCCACACCCTGTGAGAAGAGGCTCTTAGGGAAGGATGGCACCAGATACTGTTCCATCTGTGCCTGGCTTTTGGCACTTGGGCAGCCATGACTGGCCACTGTTCTGCTGAGTTCAGCCTTTTGTTAAATTTAACATGCTTGGGGAGGATGTCTTCTCCACACTGTCATGTCCAAGTCAAACTGATGCCCACTGATGGTCCACCCACTGCAAACTGATGCTGCCACTGATGGTCCACCCACTGCAGACAGAGCCCGTGCCACTGCTCTTGTCCCCATCCCATCAGGCAAGGCCAGCAATCCCAAAGTAGCTCTGAAGTCAGACTTCCACCTGCCACCATTAAGAACAAGAAGGAAAAGCTGGGGAAGACAGCTCAGTGATATGATTAAGATCTGAGTTCAGACCCCCAATGCCCACATAAAAGCTGAGCTCACTGGCACACACCTGAAGCCTGGGTAGTGTGTGTGTGGCAGGAGAGAGCATGAGTTAGAGCCCCGGAATCTGCTGGCTAGCCAGTCTTGTCGATCAGTGACCTACAGGTTCAGGGAGAGACCCTGTCTCAAAATGTCAAGTAGTGGGCAACAGAGGAGACAACTCAACATCAACCCCTGCCCTCCTTGTGCAGATGTATACACAGGTACCTGCATATATATGTGCACATATACACACATGTGCGTTCATGCGCATGCACACACACAAGACTGGAGAAGACATCTTGGAGAGGGATAAAATAATAGAGATACATTCATGGAGACTCACTTAGTTTTTTCCCCACGATTTCAGTAAGTGAAATAAGCCTGTCTCTGAGCCCTTATTTTACCAAAAGGGACACCCCACTAGATATAAGTTGATGTCAATGCCATAGGGACAACCTGGCCACTGACTTGTATCTTGTCCTCTGAAACCATCCTCCTGACAAAGGGACCCCTCACCTCTCACCCACTCACTCTCTGTGAGTGGCAGCCCCAGGTCTTCAGATCAGTGTTAGCCCTTTCTCCTCAGCCCCATTTTAATGAACAACTCTGCCTAGGGCCAGACGTGTTGGCACACACGGCTACTCTACATCTTGGATCAAATGGTGAGGCTTGGTCCCTGGGGTCAGATGGCCTGGATGACAGCAGTGGGGATGGAGGTGCCTTGGCTTTGCTTTGCCCTTTGCCTTGCAGTCATCCGGGAGGGCAAACCTGAGGCCCTGGTTGTCTCTGGGGAATGATCCTTCCTGGCAAGCGGGTGCCTGACTCACCTAAATCCTTAGCGTTGTTTGACAGCGTGTGGCGAGGGAACAATCCTACTCAGAGAATAGCAGTCAAGAAGAAATAATACAGGGCTAGAGAGAGGGTTCAGTGGTGAGCGCTACCTGCTGGCAGAAGATGCAGATTTACTTCTCAGCACTTACATCAGACAGCTCACACTGCCTGTAACTTCTGTTCCAGGGAGCCCAATGTCCTCCGGCCTCTGAGGGCACCTGTACACATGTGGTATGCACAAATAAATAAAAATCTTCTTTTTTTAAAAGAAGAAATAATAAGAACCAACAGATAACTCAGCAGATAAAGGCATTTGCCACCAAGCCTGATGACCCGAGTTCAATCTCTGGGTCTCACATAAAGGAAGAAGTGAATGCCTCCTGCAAATTGTCCCGACTCAAACATTTATCATGGTTTGCATATTCTCACATGTGTATATGTACAAATAAATAAAAATATAAGAAGAAGAAGAAGAAAAAGGAGGAGGAGGAAGAGAAGAAGAGGAGGAGGAAGAAGAGGAGGAGGAAGAGGAAGAGGACAGAGGGAGGAGGAGGAGGAGGAAGAAGAGGAGGAAGAGGAGGAAGAAGGAGGAGGAAGAAGAGAACAACAACAACAAGAGGCAGCGGCAGCAGCAGCAACTGTAGGTATTGTGGCAAACCTGTATCTAAGTGCTTGAGAGGCAGAGACAGAAAGACTGCTGAAAGTTCAAAAGTTCAAGGCCTGCCAGGGTACACAATGAGATCCTGTCTGAAGTAAATAGAAACAAGAGGAAGAAAACTGTGAGCTTCACAAATGGACACACGTGCTTCAGGACTGTCAGTCACTTCTGCATAGACAGAAGTCACATCATCCCCCCGCATAACTGCAAGGACACAGGCAGGCACTAGCTCATCCTGCCCCATGGATGTTCAACTCCCAGTGTGGCTTCTCTGCATCTTCTGGCTACTTCGCCCATTTGGGCCACCTCTCCTTGGACCTGCTCTCCTCTCCTGTGAGGACACACTGTCTATATTGACCACTTGTACCTTTTTGCTGGAACTCATGTGGTAGGTGTTTCCTCACCTCAAGGGCCAGGGCTTCTGCCTGGAGCATGTTGGGAGGGAGTGTCAGGAGGAGCGGCTACTTAACAGACTGACAGACACAGTACGGTTACAGATAAGAGGGCCCATGGGACTCTGAGAGGGGACAAGACAAACTCACAGATGAGTCACTGAACAGGACGAGGAGCTGGGGAAGGGCACCGCAGCGGCTTCCTTGCAAGGTCCCAGTGCACGAAGCTGGTGTGAGGCACATCACTGTCACCTCACCCAGGCTCACCCAGGAGGCACCTGACAGAAGCTGGGATTCAGATCCAGACCTGCCTGGTTCTCAAGCCCACTCTTTTCTTTCTATACAGGTGGTCATCTGAGGGGACATCTCTTCTGGGGCTCGGAGGTGGGTAGCGGGACCTCCAGAATAAATTAATTGCCTTCAGAGCAAAGTAAAAGAAGAGATAGGCCAAAATGAGAAACACAGAGAAGAAGCAAAAGAACACCAAATTCTCCCCAAATTGCGTATCGTTTCTGTCTGGAAAAGCAGACATAAAGGATGCTGGAGACATGGCGGCAATGATGAGAACCACCTGACCAAATGTCAGCTAGGATTTCTTGTTTTCAGCCAACAAGGTCAAAGAATATTCCAGAACTGATGCTGCTCCTTAGTTCCAAAAGCAGGGAGGTTTCTCAGTTCCAAGAGTCTCCAGGGCGCTGCGCTGTGAGCTCCAGATACTCAGGTTTGTTTCTTATACTATAAGACAGAGAGATGAGAAATGGGTGATAGAAGCCATGGAGGAGGGCTCTGTTGTGTCACACAGGTCTGCCCATCCCCGCAGTGGTTTCTGGGAGGTGGTGTGACTCCATCAGGAAGTCTTTTACTGTCCTGTCCTAAGTTAGTGCCTAGACTTGTCTTCTTTATTGGGAAAGCTGAGGGGCTCTTGGGAGGAAGGCTGGGAGGCTGAGGGCACTAGGACTGAGCATGGAGCTTACCAGGGCTTGTCCTTATTCTGAATCTTGTTTGCAGAAGAAAAGTCCCAGGCAGAGGAGACCCTCAGAAGCCCAGGGTCTCCAGCCAATCACCAAAGTTTTCCTTTTTCTGTTTTTGATTTTTTTTTTCAGTCAGGGATTTTTTTCTGTCAGCCCCAGGGGCTTCTGCACTAGGCAAGCAATCTACCACTGAGGTCAATGCCCTATCAAAATCTGGTTTTTACAAAGTAGACTTTAAACCCTATATCTGGAGCATCTGAGTTAGGAGGACAAGGATCTGCTGGTACACTCCACTTCTGCACATTCCTGACTGCCTTTTCCCACCTACAGTCTAGGTGTTGGTCCTAGACCGCAGCCTAGTCCCAGGTATGTGGTCCAGGAGTGAATAAGGTAGCTGAGGGGGCCACAGGAACAAGCAGGCTTCCTCTGTAGCCTGCTCCAGTTCCTGCCTTGGCTTCCCTTGGAGATGGACTGTAGCCTGTAAGCCAGATAAACCCTTTCCTGCCCCAAGGAGGTTTCTGTCTGTGTTTTAATCACAGTAATAGAAAGCAAACTAAGAAACCACCCCCAAGACAGCCTCCCTCCAAGCCAGATACGGCTATGCCATGCTGGACAGTAGAGTTGTCTTTTCAGGGAAACACAACAGTCCCTGTGCCCAGGTCAGCTCACTCAGCACTGCCTGGCAGTGATTGGTCTTTCAGGTTTAAGGGTGACCCTCTCACTTTTGGTGAGAACGGAAAGAGAGTATCCTCTTACTTGGGAGGAGGGCAGGTGCCTCCGTTTTCAACTGTGGTGCGCAATCGCCCCCTAATGGCCAAGGATGTTACAGCATCTCCATTCCAGTGCACAAGTCGAGACCAGAGCCACTTACTTACCTTGTTCATGATCCAGTCGGCATCTTCAATGGCTCTTTTAATAATCTGCTGGATTCTCTCAGGATTGTCTTCGTCTGAGTGAACTTGGAAACTCTGTACGTTTCAGAATAAAAGGACAGGGCCAAGTGAAATTCAGAGCTTCATAGCCCAGTCCCAAGAGACTGTGGGGCACTGGTCACCTCTTGGGTCTGCTGAGGTGCGCTCATCCGGCCCATCCTGCTCTTAGACCGCAGTGTTTGAGCCCTAGTCTGTCTCTCAGCAGAACTGGCCGTGCAGCCAGCAGAGGGGATGAAAAGGGGACCCAGCCACTGGGCACACAGGCTATTTGACAGGTGATCAGGACCAGGGAGAACCACAATCTCTGGGTTTGATTTGCTCAGCATAGGAATCTACATCGATCAAAGTGTGCTGGGGAGGGATTGGCCTCGCCACCACCAGGTGCTGGTGCTGGGAAGCAATGGGGAAGGGAGAGAAGGCATAGGGCCAAAGGATCCTGGGAAATCCTGCGGGGCTTCTGACCAGTGACCTGAGATGTGAATTCACTTGTGTGAATGGAGTCCTCCCTCCCTCACCTGTGCTCCGAACCCCACATTCACTCTTCGACTCAGCCTAGGAGCCCACTCCTTGCCTGTCCAGGAAGTCTCCCCTCGCTGCCCCAAAGCTAATCACTGCCCTCTGTTTCCCCTCAGCCTCTATTGCTACCACTGTTTCTCTTTTACTTTTTGAGACAGGATATCACTATGGAGCCCTGGCTAGCCTGGAACTCACTATGTAGCCCTGGCTAGCCTGGAACTCACTATGTAGACCTGACTGGCTTTGAAATCAGAGAAATCCACCTACTTCTGCCTCTTGAGTGCTGCGATTAAAGATGTATGCCACCACAACATGTCTGTATGAAATATAATTTTTAGCTCTTTATTTGGAAATCATTTCCTTTTTAAAAGATTTATTTATACGTATACAACAATTTGCCTGCATGTATGCCTGCAGGCCAGAAGAGGGCACCAGTTCTCACTATAGATGGTTATGAGCCACTATGGGGTTGCTAGGAATTGAACTCTGGACCTCTGGAAGAGCAGATGGTGCTCTTCACCTCTGAGCCATCTCTCCAGCACTGGAAATCGTTTCTTATAACATTATTAAATTTTTATTATTCTGTTTGTGGCATGGTGTTTTGCCGGTGTGTATGTCTGTGTACCAACTACGTGCATGCAGTACACGGGTGGCTAAGAATAGAACCTGGATCCTCTGGAAGAGCTGCAGTGCTCTTAACCTCTGAGCCATCTCCCCAGCCCTAGAAGTGATTTATTATAGAAAGGTAGTATAGGGTACACAGAGCTTCCAACCTTCCCATTGTTAACACTTTACTGGTTTTACCATCTTCTCTACAGAATCTCCTAAACAAGGTACTATGCCTTGTTCCCTAAAACCCTCACTGTGTGCTTCCTGACAGAGGGACCCTCTGATGCAACCACAGTACTCAAACTCAGACACATCAGCATCGATGCAACCATCACCTAACCCACAGCTAGTATCCTTACTCCCACTGCTGCGTTCCTCTCTGGCTTAGGGTCTGGATCAAGCCTTCCACTTACTTGTGACATCACTGGAGTCACTGTTAATGGAGAGCTGCTTGCCCTTCCTGGTGGTCCATAAAACTTTGTTCTGCTTCTATTTATTTATTGTTTTTTAAATGACAGGTCCTCTTACTGGAACCTGGGGTACCCAATCCTCTTGTCTCTGCCTCCTCAATGCTAGGATCATAAGTGCAGGCCATCACGCCAGCCTTTCTGGGTGTTGAACTCTGGTCCTGATGCTTGTACGGTAAGCATTTTATCAACTGATTTCTCTCTCCTGCCTCTATCCAGTCTGTTTTAATATCCTTGGAGCTGTCTCATTCAGGCCCCAGCACAGCACTGATGCCAATGGATACAGCCTCTGTGCCGCAGATAGAAGCCAGAGGCCACCTGCCTATGTTTGCAGTGCCTCTTATGAAACTTCTAGGCCTGCTCCCTGGCAACTGTGGCTCTGGCCCCCAGTGGACACCTCCCCCAGACCTGCTCCCACCTGCCTGACAGCATGCTTGTAGTACTCCTGGATGCCCTTGGTTGGCAGCTGCCGGCAACAACGCAACAAGTAACGGTACAGCTGCAGCGGTGTCTGGACCAGCTCTGCCCCTGGCAGAGGGGCCATGTGCAAGCCCCAGCCCTGAAAAACACAGAACATCATCACGTTCTTAGCCATCAGACCAGTTCCACAGTGGTACTGGTCTCCAGTCCTAGCCTTCTGTGTGCACAGAGGCTAGGTCCCCCTGTGGCCCAACCCCAGAAGTCAACACCCTGAGCTGGGGCTAGCCTTAGCATACAGCAGGCCCATGAGGACCTAATGCAAGAGTAGAAGGAGGTGTGCCACCTCGGCCCAGAGTCTCGCTAAAGTTCAGCTTCGGGTGGCAAGTGACACGGGGAAATGAGTAGAAAACCCCAGGTGGCAATCCTGTCAAGGCTGCCGACAGCCAGGCACATGCTAGTGAGGGCATCAGGCAAGAAGACAGGAAGCCTGAAGGTCTAAACCTGTCTAGTCAAAGTGATGTTCCCAAAGCACTGGCAAGACCGAGGCTCTTTCAGGAAATACAGTCTTGGGCCCTAGACGGGCAGACGCATGTTAATGAGCAGGTCGGGATGCACATTGTGGCTCCCATGAAGAAGCAGCTGTAGATGGAGTGACCAAAGGGAAGCCAGGACTAGGTACATGACTTCACTTTACTGAGTCATTAGTAACAATGAGCACAATATTCATTTAACATACAAATTAATGCAAACATATGAAAACTAACTCAGAGAGGTAAGGTAATTTGTCGCAGCTCACACAGCTGACAAAAGGTCTGTCTGAGATTTCAATCTTGGCAGTCTGGCTCCAGCATCCAGTAACAAAAGAAAGGGGACCTGCAGCCTTCTGTGAATTCCAGGCCAGCCAAGACTATATAGTGAGACACTGCCTCAAAAACAATTTTTGTTTGTTTGTCTTAGGGCCTAGAAAGTGGTTCTGCAGTTAAGAGTACTTGCTGGCCGGGCGGTGGTGGTGCACGCCTTTAATCCCAGCACTTGGGAGACAGATGCAGACAGATTTCTGAGTTCGAGGCCAGCCTGGTCTATAGAGTGAGTTCCAGGACAGCCAGGGCTACACAGAGAAATCCTGTCTCAAAACAAACAAACAAACAAACAAACAAACAAACAAAAAAGAGTACTTGCTGTTCCTCCAGAGGACTGGGGTTCAGTTCCCAGCACCCACATGGCTGCTCACAACTGTCTGTTACTTCTGTTACATCCAGGATCTAATGCCTCTTCTGGCCTCCAGAGACACCATACACATGGTACACACACATACATGCACACACATGTGAGCACTCACACACACACATCAACACAAATGTTCCTGCACACACGAGTTTCTGCACACACTGGCATGCACACACACACACGAAAGCAAACACTCATACTCATAACATAAAATATAATTTAAAATCTTTTAAGTATTAGGGGTAAAGATGCTAATAACATACGAGTATTCACAGGGAGCCATTCAGCAATTTTCACACGTCTACTTCTGCAGGAACCACCATCACAATGAAGAACAAGCTTATCCACCCAAAGTTACCTCTGCCCTCCCTCCAGCTCCTCACTTCCCAGCCTCCAGCAGCTGCTGACTGGCTTCCCCAACCCAGGCTCCTTCACATGTTCCCAAGGTTTGTGTCAATGGAATGGTCTGCCATGCTTCCTTCCGTGGCTAAGGAATCCATTTATCTGTCTTCTGTATCTATGTCTGTCTGTCTGTCTGTCTGTCTGTCTGTGTATCTATCTATCTATCTATCTCTCTATCTATCTATTTTGGCTTTTTTTTTTTTTTTGGTTTTTCGAGACAGGGTTTCTCTGTATAGCCCTGGCTGTCCTGGAACTCACTCTGTAGACCAGGCTGGTCTCAAAATATTTTGGCTTTTCAAGATAAGGTTTCTTTGTAGGGCTGTATGTCCTTGAACTTACTCTGTAGACTAGGAGAGCCTCAAACTCAGAGATCTGCCTGCATCTGTTTCCTAAGTGCTGAGACTAAAGGCATGCACCACCACCGCCCGGCAGGATATTTCAAAACATGTTTCTATTGTGATTTTTTTAAAGGCTTATTATTTTCTAACTATAGTATGACTGTGTCTGTGGGAGGGTATGCACACGTGAGTACAGGTGCCCAAGGAGCCCAGAAGCATCAGATTCCTGGAGCTGGAGTTCCAGGCAATTGTGAGTCACCTGATGAGGATTCTGGGAACTGAACTCAGGTCCTCTCGAAGAGTAGTATGTGCTCTTAAGATGAACTTGTGTGTGTGTGTGTGTGTGTGTGCGCGCGTGCGCGCGCGCACCCCACAGCACACATGTGAAGGTTAGAGGACAACTTACAGGAGTCAGTGCTCTCTTTCCATGAGGTGGGCTTGAGTTTTGAACTTGGGTCATCAGGCTTAGAGGCAGGCACCTCCCTTCACCTGACTGAGCCACGTCATTGGCCCAGCTTTGTCTTTTAAAGAGAGTACATGTGTTTCTAAACGGTAGGCTTCTAAATAACAAGATTTGTTACCTTGCATTTAGTGCCTCTAGCCCTGATCTTGCCCATGTGCCCACTGCTCCAAAGGCTCTTGCCTGAGCTGTGTTACAGCATCCTCCTGGCACCCAATGTCAGTCCATTCTCTTCCACACTTGATACCAAGTGAGCTCTGACCTACTGTTTTGGATGCATGCATCTATGTCAGTCCTGGGAATTTTCCTCAGAGTCTCAGACTACCAAGAATGTCAGTTCTCTACAGCTCTGCACGGTGGTGGCTCCCTTCCCAGCCCCCCAGTGGAAGCCCTCTCTCACTGCCTGTGCTCCAACCTCCGTGGGAGTGAATCACTCTGCTGCCACAGGAGGCTCTCAGAGCTGAGCTGGGCCCAAGCCGCAGCACTGTGTCTGGCCCCCAGCAAGCTTCACAGTAGATGAACTGAACCAGCCAATCGATCCACCCTGTTATCTCACTAGCTTCCTGTCTAGGGGAGTGGGGGGAGAGCCTCTCTGTGCGCCAGATGAAAAAGCTCAAAGAAGGGCTGGAGAGATGGCTCAGTGGTTAAGAGCACTGACTGCACTTCCAGAGGTCCTGAGTTCAAATCCCAGCAACCACATGGTGGCTCACAACCATCTGTAATGAGATCTGATGCCCTCTTCTGGTGTGTCTGAAGACAGTTACAGTGTAGTCATATATAATAAATAAATAAATCTTAAAAAAAAAAAAAAGCTCAAAGAAGGGACAGAGGGACAGAGGGACTGGTGTTAGTTTTAAGGTTGCAAAGAATGTGGAGAATGCTGCCAGAACCAAACACTAGAAGTGCGGACGCCCCTGCACTAACATGGGAACTGTGGAAGGCTGGGGTCAGAGGCTCCAACGTTCTATTTCAAGAATGTCTTTTCGAAGCGAAACACGCTCATCACCACAGCTAAACTGGCCGTCTCCTCACGGTTCTTCCGGCTCTTGCTCTAACACTGGAGTTGTCCGCCCCCATCACAGTTCTCCTTCCTAGTAAACGCCAGTTTTGCAGAACTCGGTGCACAAGGGCCCAACCTGTCTGACCAACCAGAACCCAGGATTCATATCTCCTCAGGGATTGGCTCACAGGTGAGCAGCTGGGACTCTAAGACTCCCTCCCCAACTAGACTCAGTAATTCTACAAGGGATACCTACCATCTTGCCACCTCTTGATTCCAAGCAGAATGTAGAGCTGGAACTTGCCAGAACAAAGTCTTAAAATGTCAAATCCATAGGAAGCCAAGGCCCCAGAACTAATACCCTCGCCATTTACTCCAACTACCAAAGCTGCTTGGAAAGGCGATTCTGTAATTTTCTTTTTTTTTTTTTTTTGTTTTTTTGTTTTGTTTTGTTTTTCGAGACAGGGTTTCTCTGTGTAGTCCTGGCTGTCCTGGAGTTCACTCTGTAGACCAGGCTGGCCTCGAACTCAGAGATCCGCCTGCCTCTGATTCTGTAATTTTCAACCTGAAAGATTCTGATAGATCGTTGTCCCACCTCTACTTCTAGGGGTTGGGGTGTGGCTCAGTTGGTAGAACATCTATCTAGCATTCAGGAAATTCTGGGCTCAATCTCTTAACACTGCAAACAGAAAGCATGCTGGTGCAGGCCTCCACTAAGGAGGTGGAGGCAGCAAGATCACAGGGTCATCCTTGGCTATGTATGTAGTGAGTTTAAGGACAGCCTGGGCTACATGTTTCAAAAACCAAAACAAAACCACTTCTATGATCCATTTCAACGGTTCCATCTGTAAGGAAGTGTAGACAGGACAGGGCTCTTCAACCCTGATCTCACCAGGCTCACTGGCCCTGCCTTAGTCTAGCCCACAGTGGGGAACCTTTAGCTATGATGGGCAGGACCCTGAAGGGCAGCCACAGAGGACACACTACACTCCCAACGTGACAGGCAGCTCCCCTGGCAGGCTTCCCCAGACTATATAAAGTGCTAATCAAATATTGTAAAATGCTAGTCCGGAACAGATGGTTACCATCTGCGGTCCTCAAACTTAACATTTGGAAAGAGCACAAGTTTGCTTCACTGCTTTAAAACCCAAGCAATACTTAGTAACCAACCCAGCAAGTATGGGCGGAAGATTATTTTCAGCTCAATTATATTACTTAGTCATTCTCAGTAATAACCAGCAGAGAATACGTGTGTGGGTCCACTGAGAGGAGATGAACTAAAAAATGTTTTAATTTAATTTATAGTGTGGGTTTACTATCATTCAGGGGGCATGAACCTCCCCACACCATTACCAAAACCATAGTAGTTAAACCCAGGCCCTGGAAAACGCTCACTTTCTGCTCTTTGGACTTGACCTCCGACTCCAACCCCAGCTGTGCCTGGGACAGCTCCATTTTCCAGGCAGCCATGCTAAGATCGCCCCTCACAGCCCAACCAGGCCTCTTCCTCCCATCCCCAAGCCGCTGGATCAGAACTCCTATCAAGTCCTACCTCTCTGTGCCTCTTAGATTTACAGCTCCCTCTAGTGCCGATTCCTCCTGTCTCTGCGGCCACTGTCTAGAGCTGGCTCTCTGCTTTTCCATCCATTTCCCTACCTGCTCTCCACCCAACAGCCCGAGTGGATCTCAAACACAAATTTCAGGGTGCCCAGTCCCCTCCTAATTCCCTAATAGCTACTCCAACACCATGTCACTCCAGCAACTGTTCTCAAAATGTTAAATTTAAAACTGTTTTCGGTTTTGTTATTGTTTTTAAAGAATGGGTACAGAGATGTACCAAGCAAACAGAGTTGCAGTCACAATGAGGAACTGGCAGAAACAGTACCGTGGCACTGAGCAGGGAAAGTGCCAGCCTACAGAATACACCCATGTCCCTTTCCGTGGCCCAGGGAGTCCTGTGTCTGCATCACCCACCCCTCAAGTGGAGTGGGGCAGTCTGTGTCTAGGGATGGTCTCTACTCTGTGACGGGACAGATAGGTTGACATGGAACAGTCAGGAGCCTCAGAGAAGCAGAACACATAGGATATAAGTGTGTGTCAGTGTGGGGTGTGAGTGTGTGCAGGGTGTGTGCGTGTCTGTCAGTGTGGAGTATGTGAGTGTTATGTATGTGTGTGTACGTATGTGTGGGGTATGTGTGTTGTAGTGTGTGTGTGTCACTGTGGGGTATGTGAATGTGTGTAGGGTGTGTGTATCAGTATGGGGTATGGGAGTATGTGCAAGATGTGTGTGTGTGTGTGTATGTCTGTGTGTGTGTCAGTGTGGGGTATGGGAGTGTGGACTGGATATGTGTGTCAGTGTGGGGCATGTGCATGCATGTATGTGTAGGGTTTATGAGAGAGAGAGAGAGAGAGAGAGAGAGAGAGAGAGAGAGAGTAGGGGATAAATTTGTGTATGTGTGGAGTATATTTGTGTGTCTGGGGTATGTGTATGTGTGTGTGTATGTGTGTTACAAGGAATTTGTCATGTAATTCTGTGAGCTGCCAAGTCCAAACCCTGCAAAGCCAAAATGTCCTGACTCTAAGACAGAAAGTTGCCAGGAAACAGGGAAGAGTCACGGTTCCAGTTCAAGGGGCTTCATGAGAATTCTTGTGTAGGAAAGGCTTAGACTGTTCATTCTAGTCCCTTAACAGTGTAACTTGTAAACATCTAACACCCTCCAGACCATAGAGACAGTAGCAGTAACTGAGGCCAGGTACAACCCCTGCTCCCCCAGGACTGATTAAACTGTGTGGCAGGTAAATCTGCCACATCTCCTGGCCTACATTTCCTGGTGCTCTCTAAGTGTAAGACTACCACAGGCACAGGCAGAACAGGTAGACAGGAAATGGTTCAGATGCTCAGGAGGAAGCTGTGGTGACTTCCAAAAGGCCTTATCACCCCATTTCACTCTAGCCCTGACTTCCAGTTCAGGCTCTCACCTGCATCAAGGGAAGGACATCCACCTGTGTGCAAGGAAGGCCCTAGCAGCCATTTTCCAAGGGTGGTCACAGTGCTTTATCAACCCCTCAACCAAACCTTTCTACAGCTATGCACCAGCTGACACTGTCCAGCTGGTAGGAACCTTCCAACATTGTTAGGAATCACGATGACACTGTGGCTCTGTAGTGTTTGCTCTTATCCTCAGGTGATTCGGGTACAAGTATTAAGAGGAGATACGTGCTGGTGGTGGTTGTGTGAACCTTTGATCCCAACACTCAGGAGGCAGAGGCAGAAGCAAGCGGATCTCTGAGTTAGAGGGCCAGCCTGGTCTATAGAGAAAATTCCAGGACAGCCAAGGCTACATAGAGAAACTCTGTCTCGAAAAACGGGGGGTAGGGGGGGTGGGGGGGGGGAGGAGGAGAAGGGAGAGAGAACAAACTAAGAAGCACAAGAAATGTTGAGTGTTTCTACTCATAGTCTGAGCTCTATCCTGATCGCCAACAAGTCCATCGCACACAGCCAACTCCCTCGGTCCCTGTCATCCCCTTTCCAGCACAGGAGAAGACATTACCATCTCCCCGCCCCGCCCCACTCAGTGCTTCTCATCCTCCCCACTCCCCCTCATGTCTGCTTTCCCTCCCCTCCCCTCTCAAGTACACCGAGAGTGTGAGAAACAGCGGGCTGATTGTGTTCAGACCAGTTCCATGAACAATGACCCTGTCAACCCCCATGACCTGAGAATTCAAGGAATGCAGCCCAGGCTGCATTCTCTGCTCAGACCTTCGTGACCCTGGCATCCACTTCAAAGTACCTTTCTCCATGAACTATTATTAAGTTGGCATCCCCATCTTGGACTAATACAGAGTCCCAGTCGGCCACACAATCTCTGGGATGCCTGACTGTTGTTCAAGTCATCTCTACGTAACGAAAGCACAGAAACAATCACACACCAAGACAAAGGGAATTGGCCTGAGAGCTATCCTCAGCATAGCTCATCCATGCAACGTCTTCCCAAGCATCTGAGTATATAGAACCACTAAGAAGACCAACACCTTGTTTATCCAGAATCTTCCGCAAAGCTGATGTCATATTTTATCACTTTATTGCCCAGAAGCTAATTAGTCCATTATGACAGCTTTTCACATATTATCTCATTAAACACAATATTAGAGAAGGTATTGTCAGCCCCATTTCATAGATAAGGAAACCAAGGCTCAGAGAAGCTGTGACTTGTCAGTGGCCACATAGCTATACACAGTCAGGCAAGGAACTAACCATAAGTCTATTTGATTCTAAAGCTCACAATCTTACTTGCATCCCGACATCTGCTAAATGGGTATACCTAAGAATACTAAGGCTGGGGCGGGGGAGTAACCCAAGGTTAAGAGCACCTCCCGAACATATGTGACTCCCTGAATTAAGTCCCCAGAACTAAAACAAAATGCATGACTAGGGACCCCATCCATAAAGAACTCTTCTTGGCTGATGCAAGAACTTGATCAGTCACTGATAAGCTTCCTTAACTGGGCTGTTATTCACAACTTGGCCACAAATCTTTGTTCCACACCTTTCAAAAATACAAGGGCATTGTAGCACCCTCTCAAACACAGATGGAAAAAATCAGACGGACTTCAATTACATACACACACAAAAAGAAATGCTTTTTAAAAAAAAATCTTAGATAGGATGGATGACTTAGACACAACCCTTACAATCTGAGTTCAAACACCTGGATCCCACAAGGTGGCAGGAGAGAACCAATTCCCAAAAGTTGTCCTCTGACCTCCACATGTGACCACACACACACACACACACACAAACTGAGTGGGCCTGATGGTATATCCCTGTAACAGCACTCAGGAGGTAGAAGTAGGAAGCCTGGGAGTTCAGGGTCCAGTCTAGGCTACATACATAACAAGCACAAGGCCAGCCTGGGCTATCCATGGTCCAGTCTCAAAACTGAAACAAAATCAATTTATAAACCTTAAAGAACATGACCTATTGGGAGGGTGCATAAAGAGAACTTCCTGGGTGCTAGGTGATACAGCTGGCACAGAGGGTAAGAAGAAAGGACTAGTCATATGTCCTTATCACTAACCTGTGTCCTAACACGGGTCACCTAAAAATAATTGGAAAAAGAGTCATACATTTAAGAAGATAATGGAACTGCAGAAAATAACCCAAAATTATGCCCAATTGAGTACTGATAAAAGCTAAATTAAGCCTGCACCAGCCATTTTTTAAATATGCAATTAATCTTCATGATGGAGAAAGTTGAAAATAGGAATGGTTTGCTCCCTGCCCCCGCCCACCCTAGGCCTCCATCTGGCATATTTATGTTCTTCCAGCAATCCTGCCTCCCCTCGTCCCTCTCCCACACAGCCAAGGTCAGCCCAGCCTCCCTACATTCCCAGCAGTACAACCTTTAGTCCCAGCTTTGCGTCCATCCCTGTGGGAGGTGGGAATGCTGGAAATGAATCCTGGGGCTTGACCCTGCCTGGCAACCTTTTTACCACTGATCTGTTTCTAGCTCCTGATTAGCAGCTAAGCTAATCAGTCTCTTTCTTCCTGACCAATTCCCAAGTGCCACCCGAGGATATTTCACACTTTATCCTTCCCTTTCTTTGGCCCCCACTACCGTATACCCAGAAGACAGGTATGTAATAGGAAGGATTTCAAATGAGTCCCAAGAGCCATCACTGGGTGCACGGAGAGATAAAATCTGATCCAAGCAGACCTTAGAAAATTATTCTGTAATAAAGAGAATGAAGCGCTTACATAAGGCTACCACGTGTGAGCCTTGAAGGAGGCATGTTAGACGCAAGAAACCAATAACCGGGGCTACATATGATTGATTCCATTTCTGTGAAATGTTCAGAACTAACAAAATCTATGGAAAACAGCTAAATGGTTTGCCTAGTGCAGAAAAAAGGGAAGAGACTGGAGAGGGGTGTTGCCAGCTAATGGAGATGGTTTTCTATGAAGGTAAATGTTCTAAAATCGACAGTGGCAGTAGATGCACACCTGCGCACATTCAAAAGTTTATTAAACCTGTGCACTTTAGCACTGGCCGGGAATCCCAATACCCCTGGGAGGTTGGGGCAGGAGGATTACGAATTCAAGGCCAGATAGGGTTACGTATTGCACAGATTAAAATTATTCCAGTTACTCCTGGTAACAGGGTGTTCCTGCAGACCGAGTGAGAGTAGAGCGTCATGTCTCCTCTTTGAAAACCATAGAACCGGGGCTGCCCCAGCCGAGTGCAGATGCCAGCAGCACATGGCGGAGACCTGGCTCCCCGTGTCCTCCGACACCGCATCCCGGCCTCCCACGCTCCTCCACGGCGCTGCAACTATGGCTGCGACAGGTGTCGCTGGCTCTCCGGGAAAGCCTAGAGCGCCCGCAGATCGCCCCCAGGGCTTCCACAGATCCCGGCCCTGCAGGCAGCCTCGGTAATTCCCAGCCCGCCCCCGCCGCCCCCCGAGTCCCCGCCCAAGGGCCCGCGCAGCGCGGCTCACCCGCCTTCCCGGCGGACGCCAACTCGAGACACCGTGAGCGACACGATTGCGCCTGCGCGGCGGAAGCAAGCGCAGCCCCGCCCCCGCCTGGTACCCGAGCGCCATCTGCCGGCCACCCGCGGGACTCGGGGTCCTACTGGGTGCGGGCTTCCTGATCCGACCCCACCCAGTTGGCTAGACCCACACACAGCCTGCTTTCCCTTGTCTTTCTTACTACCTTGAATACAAGCTCTGATGGCAGGCACTTCCTCATGTTCCCACGAATGGATAGAATATTAGGGGTGCTCAAGATGTGTGTAAAGGCTTGAAGGACGTGTCCTTCCTGTTGTCATGTTGATGACAGGAATTATGTTTGGAAGAGAGTCTTCATTTTAAGTCACTTCATCAAATTACAGTCCCACAACACCTGTCAGAAGAATACATATGACAGTAATAGGCATGCTTCCTTTCAGACTCTGCTCTAATTATAATCGAGGGAAAGAAAGCAGAATCTTAACTTGCAGCTACTGCCAGGATCATTCTTTGAAAATGAAATAATGCTGTTTCATTAAACGGGTTCTCCCCACATGCGCGTGTTTAAAGTCAGAATACTTCTCTGAATTGATTTAAATACAAGTTTTATATCCTGAAAGAAATAAAGATGGATCTTTTTCAGGAGACAAACACCCTGTTCAATGAAGCTTCAAGCTTCTCCGGGCCGCTGTCTGAAAGGCAGCAAGGTACCTGTGGATAACGTTGCTTCCCTTCATCTCATCTCTCTTCTCTGGGGCTTTTTAAATCTACCTGTAATGAAAAGTCCGATTTCCTTACACACGCCCCTTGTGTAGCTGCTTTAACAAGACAACTGCTTACAATGTCTTTTTTTCTTCATTTTTAAAAAGAAAACATTTCTGTCTAGCAGCACTCAGAAATCTATTTTTCTTCCTCTTAGGAAGCAGGGGCTATTTCTTTTTTATTTTTTTTATTGGATATTTTCTTTATTTACATTTCAAATGTTATCCCCTTTCCAGGTCTCCCCTCCAGAACCCCCTCCTCCCCATCGCTATGAGGATACTCACCCACCCACCCACCCACCTACCTACTCCCGCCTTCCTGCCCTGGCATTCTCCTACACTGAGGCATCGAACTCCCTCAGGCCCAAGGACCGACCCTCCCCCTTGGTCCAAAAAGGCCATCCTCTGCCACATATGCGGCCAGAGCCATGGATCCCTCTATGGTGCCTCTTTGGTTGGTAGTCCAGTCCCCGGGACCCAGGGTGGGGCCAGTTGACACTGTTGCTCCCCCTATGGGGCTACAAACCCCCTCAGCTCCTTCAGTCCCTTCTCCAACTCCTCCATCAGGGACCCCGGACTCAGTCCAATGGTTGACTGCGAGCATTCACCTCTGCAGGGGCTATTTCTTAACAGAACCTTTTCCTTTCCCTGATTCTTCTTCAACTCTCTAGAATCCCACCGTCTCCTCCCCAAACACACACACACACACACACAAAGCACTCCACTTCCTCCTCTTTAGCTAACACACTACCCTGTCTTCAAATCTGTGTGGGAGGATTCGTCCCCTGGAATACTCAAATAATTACCTTCATTTATTTTCAATATGTAGACTTGGACCAAATATATCTGAAAGATCCAGTTGCACACTCATAAATCAGTCTTCTTATTTACCCATGCACAATCACGGCGTGTCACTAGTGCAGGTCCAATCAATAAATCTATGCTTTCAGAGCCCTCACTAGGAGCAAGCTGCTGGGACGCCAACCCACCCTCTCATTCAACATTAAGATCCTTTCATAGTTTTAAGAAATTTCAGTCTGTTCTCTCAGCCTCAGTCTTTTGTTCCCAGATCTTGGTGTTCCTGCTTCAGAAACATCATTCGAATGCCTAGGTCATAAAATAATCAGGGAGCAAGCTGTTAGCTTTGCCTCAGAAAGGCTCCACCTTCCAGCCTCTTGCGTTACTTCTGTCTTTACAGAGATGCAACATTTCTCTTTCTCAAAACCTCCTTGTCGACAGCTAGGAAGCACAATAGAAGAACAGGAAAGATTTTTTTTTTTTTAAACCTGAGGGAGAGATGTGGATAGTAAGTTCCTTTCTTTTACTGAGTCACAATGAGAACTTGGATTTAAGGATAATCCAAGCCAGGCATGGAGGTGCACACCTTTGATCCCAACACTCCGGAGGCAGAGGCAGGGGGAGCTCTGTAAGTTCAAGGCCCATCTGCTCTACAAATCGAGTTCCAAGACAGCCAGGACTGTTACACAGAGAAACAGGGTTGTTTTGTCTAGTAAAAACAAAAACAAAAGAAAGAAAGAAAAAAAGAAGGAAAAAGAAAGAGAGAAAGAAAATCAAAAACAAAAAAAGAATAAGGCAATAGTGATTCTTCTTAACTTGACAGGAACTTTAGATTTCTTTGCATTTTAGTAGTAAAACTAAAAAATTCTTACCAGTCCAAGCATTCACTGAAATGGCACCAGGTCCATAATCTAATTAAAACCCAACTATTCTTATTCTATCATTTTCTTCCACACTGAAATTCCAGCAGCAGGGTGCCCTTGTGTCAGGCTGCATGATATTTACAGGTCAATGGAATGTTTTTTTTAAAGAATTATTTATTTGCGGCCGGGCGGTGGTGGCGCACGCCTTTAATCCCAGCACTTGGGAGGCAGAGGCAGGCGGATTTCTGAGTTCGAGAGTTCGAGGCTAGCCTGGTCTACAGAGTGAGTTCCAGGACAGCCAGGGCTACACAAAGAAACCCTGTCTCGAAAAACCAAAAAAAAAAAAAAAAAAAAAAAAAGAATTATTTATTTATTTATTTATTTTTATTTATATGAGTACACTGTAGCTGTCAGCTCTTAACCACTGAGCCATCTCTCTAGAAAAAAAAAAACTCCTCAGAATTTTTTTTAAATATGGAATGCTTCCCGAATTTGCATGTCATCCTTGTGCAGGGACCATGCTAATCTTCTCTACTGAAGATAATAGAGAATGGTAATAATAGCTATTGTTCCAGTTTTAGTATATGTGCTGCTGAATCGAGCACAGGTCAATGGAATTTTAAAAACCTTTTGCTCAAGAAGTTTATCACTCAAGAGTTGGCTGTGCAGGAGAGTCCTCCTCACTGGGGAATTTATCAGCTTTCCTCGGTACTACAAGGCCATGTTCTCTTGGTTTGTAAACTCATGTCATGTAGCCAGCCCGACAGTGGCAGCTTTGGAACCACTCTGTAGAGAAAGAAGCAAGAAATTTTGATGCTTTCAGATTAAGTCAACCTCCAGATTTTTAAAATTATATGTATTTGTTTATCGTTATGTATATGTGCTGTGGTGTGTGTGCATGTGTGTGTGTGTGTGTGTGTGTGTGTGTGTGTGTGTAGGTCAGAGGAAAAAGACTGAGGGAGTTAGTTCTCTTCCACCATGTGGGTCCAGGAAAATGGACTCAGGCTGGAGGCTTGACAGCACGTGCCTGTACTCCACACTGAGCCAGCTCCCTGGCCCCATTTCCACATTTCAAAGAGAAATGATGCATTTGCATGCTTTGATTATATCTGGTTATTGTCTCAAATGTTGACCATGTAAATAATTCAAATTAATTCATAAATATACAATGGATGTAATAACCATGATAAAAATACTTTGAAGAAAATCCTTAGGCCCTTGGATCTGCCCTGACTCTCCGTCCCCCTCGGCTCCGATTTCTCCGAGCACGCAGGATGAGCACCACCTTGACGTTCCCGTCTATGCAAAGTTGCTATTTACCAAGTTGCCATTTGCATGACTCAGATTCTGCCAGAACACAGGGAGAGGGGCACGAAGTGACAGGTGAACCTGCCAAAAGAGATCACCAAGGCAAAGACGGGAAAATCCGGTGTACAGATCTTTGCCGCCCTGGGGTGTTGTAAAACAGCCCCCGCTGACTACCAGAGAGGGTTGTCAGTAAGACAATGAAAGTATCGGGTGTAAAAGGTTATGTGAGATCTCAGGCATTTAGTGTCTTTTCTTCTGTAATTGCTGGGTGGGAGAAGGAGATGAACAGGGACTCAAGGTTTTTATAAAAAGGAGTGTGAGGGGAAGGCAAACCAGGACTAGTCACAGCACACGCGCTACAGGGTGGAGTCTGGTCTGCCAGGACTTCAGGCTCGTGTTACTTTCTGCAGCACAGTGAATCTAACCCACCTGGCTGGTACACGACATTCTACCCTTCTGGTGTGTTCTGTGGTAATTTATTCATGGCAGCTGCGTGTGAAGCCACATAGGTAATCAGGTGTGTACTACCTCTAGGCTTGGGCCTCTGCTTTTTTGTCTCACTATAAATACATTTATACCAATATCCACAATTTCTGTATCAATTACCTTTGGAATGGATTTTTTTTTTTTTTTCCATGAAAAGAGCAAGCGTAGCCAGGGATGGTGATTTGTGGCTATAATGTCGGCACTAGGGGGCGCTGAAACAGACTCCTGAGTTTGAGACAAGCCTGGACTATACAGCAAGAATCTGTAACAACTACTGAAGAAGAGGAGGAAGAAGAGGAGGGTGAGAGGAGGAAAAGTTGAAAGAGAAAGAGGAGGAAGAGGTAGAAAGGATATGGGAGAAGAGGAGAGGGGAAGGAGGAGAGAAAGAGAAAAACAAATGCTCATGTAGACAAATGCTTGCCACAGGCATATACATACCAGTCTTACAAAGGAGTGGGTGTGCTTGTAAATGTGTTTCTTTTCTTTTTCGTTCTTCTTTTATTTTTATTTTTTTGTCTTTTGATCCTGTTTAATGCAAACTCTACTTTTAAATGACCTGGTTCAAATCGCAGTTCTGTTTCTACTGGTGACATATGCAGAATCTTAAGATGGTCACAGATTCCCAGCACTCAGGAGGCAAAGGCAGGCGGATTTCTGAGTTTGTAGGCAGATGGTCTACAGAGTTCCAGGACAGCCAGAGTTATACAGAGAAACCCTGTCTCAAAAAACTAAGATGATGATGATGATAAAATGGTCACAGATAAGAATTCAATGCTGCCGGGCAGTGGTGGCGCACGCCTTTAATCCCAGCACTTG